CCAGATTAGCATCACAAGCCTGTGCAGACGAGACACAGTTACTGATACCTCCAGATTAGCATCACAAGCCTATGCAGACGAGACACAGTTACTAATACCTCCAGATAAGCATCACAACCCTATGCAGATGAGACACAGTTACTGATACCTCCAGATTAGCAACACAAGCCTGTGCAGACGAGACATAGTAATTGATACCTCCAGATTAGCATCACAAGCCTGAGACACAGTTACTGATACCTCAAAATTAGCATCACAAGCCTGTGCAAACGAGACACAGTTACTGATACCTCCAGATTAGCATCACAAGCCTATGCAGACGAGACACAGTAACTGATACCTCCAGATTAGCATCACAAGCCTATGCAGACGAAACACAGTAACTGATACCTCCAGATTAGCATCACAAGCCTATGCAGACAAGACACAGTTACTTATACCTCCAGATTAGCATCACAAGCCTATGCAGACGAGACACAGTTCTGGTACCTCCAGATTAGCATCACAAGCCTATGCAGACGAGACACAGTTACTGATACCTCCAGATTAGCATCACAAGCCTGAGACAGTTACTGATACCTCCAGATAAGCATCACTAGCCTGTGCAGACAAGACACAGTAACTGATACCTCCATATTAGCATCACAAGCCTGTGCAGATGAGACACAGTTACTGATACCTCCAGATTTGCATCACAAGCCTGTGCAGACAAGACACAGTTACTGATACCTCAAGATTAGCATCACAAGCCTGTGCAGACAAGACACAGTTACTAATACCTCCAGATTAGCATCACAAGTCTGTGCAGACGAGACACAGTTACTGATACCTCCAGATTAGCATCACAAGCCTGTGAGACAAACATCATAAATATTGAGGTTCAAGAATTTTAAATTTGTTTATAGTATGTTACATATACAATATATGTACATTGTCGGAAAATATAATATTTATTTGTATGAGCTTTAGAAACATGATGAAAAGCGAGGCTTGCCGAGCTTTTCTCCTGTTTCGCAGCGAGTACAAATAAATTTTATATTTTCCGACAATGTACATATATTGTTTTTATCCTGAAATTTACACCCAAAACTTGAAAAATGTAATTATGTTGGCAGATGGGAGGTTGGATGAGCAAGGTGGTGGTTCCAGAAAAGGCAGTATCAGTTAAGTGTAATCAACCTTTACAGTTTTCAATCCATAGCCTTCAAAATATTGTGTATACATTGAAAATGTGCACTTTTAAATGGAGCAACTTGTCAATTTTAGTAGCATTCTTAGTTTGAAGGAACCAATGTTTTGTTATAAACTCCTGCTTCATGATGCAACAAGGAATCTACAAACTGTTCCAACATTTATGATGAGCAGCTCATTTTGGGTTCACCATTTGAAAAAAATTAAAATTGAGAATGGAAATGGGGAATGTGTCAAAGAGACAACAACCCGACCAAAGAGCAGACAACAGCCAAAAGCCACCAATGGGTCTTCAACGCAGCGAGAAAATCCTGCACCAGGAGGTGGTCCTCAGCTGGCCCCTAAATAAAATTGTGTGCTAGTTCAGTGAAAATGGACGTCACACTTAACTCCAAAACATATAAGTGAACTAAAATTAAAAAACATACTAGACTAACAAAGGCCAGAGGCTCCTGACTTGGGACAGGCGCAAAAATGTGGCGGGGTTAAACATGTTTTGTGAGATCTCAACCCTTTCCCTATACCTCTAGCCAATGTAGAATAAAGAAACACATAGCAATACGTACAGTAAAACTCAGTTCAAAAAAAGTCCCAGTCCGATGTCAGAATACGTAACAAAAGAAACTAAGCAAAATGACAATGATACACAAATGAACAAAGGACTACTAGCAGTTACTGACATGCCAGCTCCAGACCTCAATTAAACTGATTGAAAGATTAAGTTTTAAAAACAACTCCTAGTCCTAGCCCTAGGAGATTCTAGTTTTCTTTAGTTTTGTTAATTTGTGGAAATCAGTAGATATACCCTTTCAAATAAACCTCATAATCATTCCATACAACAAATATATTCTACTCAAAAAGACTTAACTCCAAACTTAAGGTTAAACAATGAACCATGAAAATAAGGTCAAGGTTAGACAAAAACTGCCAAACCATCTGTCTCTCATACAATCTTCTAATTCAATCTTTATTTAACAATTTTTTTCATTGGCTGAAATTTACCGTTGAATCCACAATTAACATGTTTTGAGCTGCAATATTAAATTGCAGAAATCCACAAATGTTTGATTAATACAGTAGGGCACCACCTTAGGTCTCAGCTCACCTCAGGACACTTTTAGGCAATAAACAAAAGAAAAAAGGTTTTAAACACTTTCAACGGTCACAGGTCCTTTTAATGGGACATTAGGTAACAAGGTTGCCTGCCAAACCCCCCAGTTCAGAGCTCAAAAAAACACTTTTCTACACTTATTTAATTTGAATTGGAATACAGAAATGACATCTACAAAATTAATACATGTAAACAATATTTTATAGATACAATCTATTTAATGAATAGACCTCAAGATAAAACTATTTTGGCAATTTCAGGAGTTTTGCACTAAATGTAAAAAGTTTAAAGCCATAATGCAAAGATTTAAGACAAATAGCAAACTATAAGTATTCTTTCTCCTTAAGGTGAATTAAAAAATACATTTGACTCATTCTACTTTCACTGTTGTAAATGAAGTTTAAAATCATTGGATACAAGACAGATGTTGTATTTCATTCTTTATCTTACAAACTAGTAAAAAACTCAGCAAACTTGATGAAATATGCAAAAACAAAAGTTACCAATAACAGGAAGTGTTGTTTTTCAAACTTTGTGTTTTTGTTAGTGAAAGTTTGATAGTAAAAGCAATTAGCTAAGGAAGACATGTTTTCTTAAATAAATACCAGTAGTTAAAACCGAACTACAAAGTCATTCAAGTATGAGATTAAGGCCATTAATGCTGCATAAAATTCTTGGTTTATTAAAAGTAGATCTGCAGATGCATTTAACCATAAGGGGAACATCATAGTGACTCAAATTTTAATATCTTCATGAGAAATAGACCCCAAACCACAGAACCATGTGAGGTACAGAGAGGGGTAAATCTATGAGACTCATCCAAATTTGTAACAAACCATAAAATACAAACGTTTTGGTGTGTTTCATGCAATAAAAAATTCTGCAAGTGTCATTAGACATTGTAAGTAAAGCATTTAGTATCAACAAAGTTATAATAAAATGACTGACCACATAACATTGTCCATTTCTAAACTTTTATAAGACCAGAACATCTACAATATTTGTTTATATCAAATAAATCTGCATCTTAGACATATATTTCTCATAAATTGCCACATGATGATAAATTTTTTGCATACTTTACAAAATTATATTTAATTATTTGAAAATCTTAAAGGATTGGCTAATCAGAAAGAGAGTTAATACACAGAAAGCATCAGACAGAAGAACATATCATAATACAACCACAAAAACTTGGTAATCATTTACTTAAAGGTACATATGATGCCTCCTTTCCATAAGAAAAAACCCCATAAACTTATAGATATTAATGTCTAATCTATGATGTGTGACCACAAGATTGCACAGCTAAAATATCTCGCCTACTTTACATGCCATGATTGCTTTTGTGTGTGAAAGTCTACAAGTATCACATAAACTTAACATTATCATGATTATCAATGGTCATGAAAATGAGGTCATGATCAGATGATACATGCTAGACAGACATGTACACCTTACAATCATTCCTTGCACCAAATAAAGTTGACCTATCGCTCGTAGTGTGTAAACAATAGACCTATCCAGGAAACTAAACACTGACCAATGAACAATGAAAATTAGGCAAAGATCAGATGGAACATGTCAGACAGACATGTACAACTTGAAATCATTCCATACACCAAATATTGTTGATCTCACTGACCAATAAACAATGAAAATGAGTTCAAGGTCAGAGGAACTCTGCTAGGCAGACATGTACACCTTTAAATCTTTCTATATATCAAATATAGTTGAAATATTGCTTTTAGTATTAGAAAAACAGACCAATACACACAAACTAAACATTGACCAATAAACCATGAAAATGAGGTGAAGGTCATATGAAACCAGCCAGACTGACATATACACCTTACAAGCATTCCATATATTATTCAAGTAACTCTAACTTTGATAACTGATCTATGAAATGAGTTCAAAATCAGGTGAACCATGTCTGACGGACAATGTAAACCTTGCAAGGAACCCACATACCAAATATAGTTATCTATTACTTAATTTTATTTTTGTTCTGCAAGGAGATTATGAAGTTTATACAAAGAGAGGAAATCAAATATCATATGTCAAAAAAATAATATTCATGACATGATAACTAATGAACTAAAACACAAATGTAGAGTTATCTATACAAAAAGTTATTCCATATAACAGTCACTGAGGGCTGATAAAACCTAGAAGAGATTGCTAGTTGAACGTGACATCTAACATTGTCTACACCTCTTTGTAGTTTCTACTCTTGTTTTTGAAACAGTTAGAAACAGAGATTTATCATATACTTGGTAGTAAATACAGATACATTGTATGTGTAATACAATCGTTGGCAAGCATGCTGTATCAGCCACCCGTGATGATATCGATATCAGCACGGATGCAAAGGCTTTATCAAACCCCTTATTTGTATGACGTCATGTCATTACATCATAACGCTACTTTTTCAAAGATGGACGATGTTTAACGTGGTGATGTAGCAAACTTTGGAATTGATACCGAAGAATTTGTACTGTCTATGAGTTGTTTAAAGTATATAATAAAGTGTATATAATATGGCTTTTTCAATATCACACACCCAATTAACCCTCAACCAATATAATCCTTCGAGCAGAGCTCTCATGATTATATTGGTGTCTCGGGTTGATACGGGTGTGATATTGAAAATGCCATATAATATTCTCTATGTATGTGCCATTTAAGTCCTTACCTTTTGATTTTCCCTAAGTTTATATACACCATAGAATACAGATATGAGTAGGAGGAGAGCACCACCACATAACATTGTTATCTGTACAACTTCTACTACTAACTTTGGTATAAATAACATCCTCTTTAACTGGTTAGCATATTTATCATTGACGACAGCCGTCTGAAAAATAAAGTCATAACAGTTATACAGTTAACAGATTTCTAATTAGTCTTTGGTATACAAATTTTTAAGTTGGATGCTTTCAAGAATTATCTTACTTTTTAAAGCTTACTTCAATGAGATATGAAACATAAGATTGTAAGTTGTTGCTTTGCTACTTTAGTGTATATTGCTCATTTTTTGAGAGACATTGGAAAAATGGAAGTCCTTGTCATTTCAATTGTGAGTCTAAAACATCTTGCCATAAAAGGAGTTTAAACTCACAATTCCAGAGTATCCAGGCTAGTGATCACTGAAGATGAACAACTTTGACCACTCGGCCACTGATGTCCATTGTTTCGTAGGAAGATTAAACATGGACAGTATGAGGATGGTCATTTGCCAATCAGTCAAGTGAGAATAGCTTTTTCTACATTTATCAGTAAATATGGATTCCTTGGAGTTAAGTACATATTCCTTTTAATATGCAACCTTATCGTTTTATCTTTATTTTGACATTAGGTGATATAAACCATCCAAATAGTGTAATTATGAATAGTTTTCCTAACAAATGGTATCTTTATACATGTTACTACTTTATCTTTAAAGAATTGGAAATAACTAATGGCTGTATACACTTAATTATTGTTTTGTGGATTTGATGTTGGGTTGCTGTCTCATTGAATTTTACCTCGCAAACCTGGAACAAACTTTCTAAGTACTGCAAGGATAATACTGTTTGATTGAAATGTTACAGTACATCTTTTGGATTAAACAGTCAACTCCTAGAAAGATCTATCACAAACATATGATAATGTCCATAAATCATTATAATGGTCTTGTTTTTAAGATATAGTGTAAACATACATAAAGTCACACCCCCTTTAATCTAAATGAACTTTTGTTCCATATGATGATTCAGAAGAAAAAAGAGGATATAATTAACTTTAACGATAAAAAATTATTGACATAAACACATAAATAATCAGGTAGTGCAATCCTCCCCCATAAAAATCACATACACATTTGTTTGTTTTTGTAATGAAAAAACTATTTTCTATAAAAAGAGTGAATATTGATATTCTAGCCTGTAGGAGTTTATCTGTAAGTTTTATGATAAAGGTCAGGGAAATCTGAAGGGTTTTCATCAACAGTTTGATGGAATACTCGTTAATAGAAAGAAAAGAAATGGATTGATGCCAATATTATTATCTGTTGTATGAAATATACATCCTGTTACATTAAATTGGGGACACATTTTTCAGTGAGAGGGGAGACCTGTAAAATCAATACATACAATATGTGTTTATTCCAATTAAGGTTCCTCAGGAGGTAATGAGAAACATTACGGTACAAGAATACAATGTTAATACCAATGTGGTAATAAAAAAAATATAAGATGATTTTAAATGTTTAGTTCTCTACATTAAGGATGTTTGATGCAGTGCGACTTAAGGGGCGACACAAATTTTGGTTAATTGATTGCTAAGTTGGAGACTTCAGGGGATGGTGCTCAAGATTCATACAAACCTTCCTGTGTCTTAACCAGCAACTCATGCAAAACATGATACATAAATGGGGGCCATTTATTTGGTTGTTTAATTGGAGGAGACACCAGGGGGCAGTGCTTAAGAATTTCATGAATGTGATTCTCCCTGTGACTTGTTACCAGTGAAGCAAACAATTATGAAAATATGAATAGAACAAATTTGTTTTAACGATTAAGATTAAAGCATTAAACTCTCTACAGTGATTATAAACAAAGCTACTCAAATGTTTTAAAACTGATATGTCCTAACAGGTTATTAACCAAAAGACCTTATAGCTTTAAACATTTTTTGTCATTCCTTGTTAAATTTTGTGCAATGTAGGAGAAAGTGTATCTCATCCTCTTCCTCACCTAAGCCACACTTCCCACAAAGTCTTATAAGTTGTGAAGGGATACCCTGGTATCTGCCTTTTCTATTTTCAAACAAACTGCTAAAACTATTAAGTTTCATAAAACTCCTCTTATGCTGAAAATTACTGACAATAAACTCGTCATAGATAACAGGATTAAAATTTAGTATGCCAGACATGCGTTTTGATAACAAAAGACTCGTCAGTGACACTTGAACCAAAAAGTTAAAAAGACCAAATAAAGTATGAAGTTGAAGAGCATTGAGGACCCAAATACAGCAAGGTAATCTATTCCTAGGGAAGAAAATCCTTTGTTTTTCGAATAATTAAATTTTTGCAAACAGTTAGACAAGAGGTAAATAATTTTCAAATCCAAAATATACCTAAAATGTTGTGTAAGTACAATGTTTCCCTTCTGAATGTTTTTTAATTTAATTTTCCCATATTTTCAAAAAGCTTTCTTTTACAGTGCTTTTTAGTTTGCTTCTTGATATTTTATATCCCTCCACTCCTGTAACAGTGGAAAAATTGTCCTTAATTAAGCTTCCTAGAACCAATGGCAAGTGAACTATTGCGTAACTTTTCACATCTCTAAGTGGTAGTGCAAGAAAGTCAAATGAAGTTTTCTTTATTAACCTCTGGTGTTGTATTACAAAAAATCTGTTTATAGAAAATATGACAGTCATTGTGTTATAAACAGACACTAATTTTACTTTTAATAACTCACTTATGACTAACATACAAACACTCAACACTGAAAATAGAAACAATCATTCAAATTCAATGACGACAATTATTTACCATCACACAAATAAAAGAAGAATCTGTCTGAGGACATGAATGCTGCCGCTCAAGCTTTGCAATTTTCCAAGTTATAAAAGGCATAACTATAGAACGGTAAATGACTCACAACCCAAATTAAAACTCTGTCTGTGTGTTATGGTTCTTAGAATTGTGTATGAGTTTCATAAAATTTGGTTGCCTACGCACCGGTATAAAAATCTGTTAAAACCAAATATCATATGCTAAGCATCCAAATTAGATGAGACAAAAAATGAAAGACAGAAGGTGCAAAGACTGTCAGATAACCATTACTAGTATTGATGGAATACTCCTAAAAAGATAGGAAGAAGTGAATTGGTGCCACTGTCAACCTCTGTTATATAAAATATACATTGCATAATTTTCATTATTGAATTCCATCAGAAGAAAGGTTTAGAGGTTAGAAGTTGAGATTAACCATTAAAGATAGAGAAAACACTCTACAATCACAGAAGTTTGAAATGAACTGATGGCAGTATCATTGCATGTTGTATCAAATATACATCTTTTACAAAGAAATCACAGACAGAATTAAAAAGGGAGCAGAGGAATGTAATATAAATGTGTGCAGATGTTTCATGATGTTTCAATGTATGTCCAAAAAAACCATGCCACAATTGCACTTTCACATTTTCAGTTAAACCTGAAATCAGGGTCGTGATGATAATTTGTAAAGTTCACATTGAATATATGTACTAATTTTCAGGTTGATGTGCTTTAAAGTACACTACCTTGACAAAACTTAAACCTGATAATATATGGGACTCACAATATCACATTTCCATGTTCAGTGAACCATGAAATCAGGGTCAAAACTATAATTTGGAATATACTTTAAAAATTCATATAACAAAGTTTCAATTTGATGTGATTACAACTTCATGGTTAACTAACTTGACCAAATATTTCAACCTGATACAAGAAGGATAAACAAACAGATGGGATATCAGAAAGATGCACAGACCAAAAATCATTCTGCCCCAATACTATTACAGGAAGGATAAACAAACAGATGGGATATCAGAAAGATGCACAGACCAGGAATCATTCTGCCCCAATACTATTACAGGAAGGATAAACAAACAGATGGGATATCAGAAAGATGCACAGACCAGGAATCATTCTGCCCCATTACTATTACAGGAAGGATAAACAAACAGATGGGATATCAGAAAGATGCACAGACCAGGAATCATTCTGCCCCACTACTATTACAGGAAGGATAAACAAACAGATGGGATATCAGAAAGATGCACAGACCAGGAATCATTCTGCCCCACTACTATTACAGGAAGGATAAACAAACGGATGGGATATCAGAAAGATGCACAGACCAGGAATCATTCTGCCCCACTACTATTACAGGAAGGATAAACAAACGGATGGGATATCAGAAAGATGCACAGACCAGGAATCATTCTGCCCCACTACTATTACAGGAAGGATAAACAAACAGATGGGATATCAGAAAGATGCACAGACCAGGAATCATTCTGCCCCACTACTATTACAGGAAGGATAAACAAACAGATGGGATATCAGAAAGATGCACAGACCAGGAATCATTCTGCCCCAATACTATTACAGGAAGGATAAACAAACAGATGGGATATCAGAAAGATGCACAGACCAGGAATCATTCTGCCCCATTACTATTACAGGAAGGATAAACAAACAGATGGGATATCAGAAAGATGCACAGACCAGGAATCATTCTGCCCCACTACTATTACAGGAAGGATAAACAAACAGATGGGATATCAGAAAGATGCACAGACCAGGAATCATTCTGCCCCACTACTATTACAGGAAGGATAAACAAACGGATGGGATATCAGAAAGATGCACAGACCAGGAATCATTCTGCCCCACTACTATTACAGGAAGGATAAACAAACGGATGGGATATCAGAAAGATGCACAGACCAGGAATCATTCTGCCCCACTACTATTACAGGAAGGATAAACAAACAGATGGGATATCAGAAAGATGCACAGACCAGGAATCATTCTGCCCCACTACTATTACAGGAAGGATAAACAAACGGATGGGATATCAAAAAGATGCACAGACCAGGAATCATTCTGCCCCACTTCTATTACAGGCAGGCATAAAGAATACACTGGTGATCATGTCATTAATTGGTATTTAAAAAATGAAAACAACAAGTTATAAATTTCATGCGTCTGAAGTGCTTTTCTGGATTTACCTTCATCAGGAACGCTCAAAGCAGAATATTTGAAAGCCAAGAATGTATAAGAAACGAAACAGTTGAAGAGCTATACTAGATAGCATTGAG